AGAAAGCTGCACGCTGAGCACTTTGGCCCCTTTGGCTGCAACTACCAACGTTGTGCTTCACCTCTGCGAGCGTTAGAAGCAAAGAGCGAGCTAACCGAGAAAAGGATCTTGGCTGATATCCCTGAATCGGCGATATCTATTCCAAGTTAAAATGCTAGCAGCTTGCCCACGCAAATGCTTCCACCGCTCCTGCTGCCAGAGGAGATGAGACAGGTGTTGCGGTGTTGCAGTGGGAACCTTTACTGTGAGCTCGGGGCGCCGTCGGGATTTTTCAGTCTTTCGTTAGCACAAGCCAAAGCCGCCTCCCCTTGCTCCTTTTCTAGCAAGAGTTGCAAGAGTTCATGTTTGTTGTATAAACAGAAAAACTAAAGGACAACTTGTCAAATGTTGGCTCTCCTTGTTCACTTCTTCCTGCTCCAGAACTCCCCGTACCGAGAATTTTTAAAACAAGGCTTTAAAAAGGGCAAAACTGTTTTTCAGAGTGTTTTTGGAAAAGCTGGCATTTGCCCTTTTAAAAATGTATTCTGTAGTGCCATGTGTATTTACCTAAACATCTCTGCTTTTTTATGTTCCATTTACAGCCATCTGTCTGTCTGGATGTACCGAACAGAATGGATATTGCAACAAGCCTGGAGAGTGCATGTGAGTAGATGGCAATTGCAATCTGAACTTCAGTTAAAATGTCACCTTGTAATAGAAACTTAAACTCTTTTCCATGTCATTAATGTTTTAATTTGACTTTACTTTTAGCTGTCGTCCCGGTTGGCAAGGCCGCTACTGCGATGAATGCATTCCCCACATAGGCTGCCGCCACGGGACTTGTAAAACACAATGGCAGTGCATCTGTGATGAAGGATGGGGTGGCCTCTTCTGTGATCAAGGTTAGTTCTGAAGGTTGTGCTTATGACTCTGGACTGGGAACTCCTCAGTACCAGACTAAGGAACCTGAGCCATTGGATCTAGAATTAAATTTCCGCAAGGTACATGTTTGTAGGCATCGGTTTGTACCACCGCTGTCTTAGACACCAGTTCTTGTATTTGTAGTAATTTTGTCTGAGAACAAGCAAACCTTTTTGGTAGCTGCAGTTTTTCTCTTGCAAAAAAAAGTTTCTCTCTTGGAAAAAAAAAAACAACCACCTGGATGAGTGTTGAACAGACAAGTTTTCTGCCTGCTCAAGTTAAGTGCAACTTATTCCCTGTACAGCTATAACAATTTACTAAACAGTTTCCAGCAGCAGTAAACACCATCATTTGGGCCTTCCTTATTTTGCATACAAGGAAGTTAACTCATGTGATAAGTCTAGAGCATGAGAGAAAAATCATGTAAGCAAGAATGAAAAGTACAGGTTCCATTTTAAGGTACACCAGACCACTTCCACCTATTCAACCCACTGAATCACTGAACCGCAGCCAGCTGAGCAGTCATGTCCTCAAGGCCATATATGCACTGCTGGCACTGAGATCATGAAGTGCTCGAAGCAAACTAAGTGTTTTCAAGACAGTTACAGGATTAAGATGGCGAAGTCTGAATTAAGCAGGGAAAGTAAAGTTGCAGATTTTTTTCCTGCTTGTAGTTATCTATTAACTAGTTGTACTCCAATTACTCTATGGTATATAGAGAGATAATAAAGATTTTCTGCTTATGTCCTGTGAACTTGTGTGCTTAACCTCCATCTCAAATTTAAAGGGGGCGGGGGGGGGGGGAGGGAAAGGACCATCAAGCTTGGCAGAGCATTTAGACAGTTTAAACTACTAACATCCATAACAAGAGAGCATGGTAAATAAACAATAAAAGATTTCTAGTGTTTATGTAAATCTCCAAGCCAAAACATCTTTATTTCCTCCGTGCCTCCCCAGAATGTGCCTCGGAGCACACCTTTTAAAGACGGGGCTCACTGTTTTAGCGTGTAACATGTTGTGCACAAAGTGTCTGTAGTGCTGTGGCGTGTCTTTTGGAGAACAAACACTTACAAAGTACAGTTTCCAACTTGGCACCTACATCCCATTGCAGCTAAGGGGTTTATGCACACAAAAAAGGGAGAGTATACCAAAGCACTAGGAAAGTTAAATTTTTGCCAGGTCTCTCAAAATTCAGAGCTGACGTATTACAGCGATGGACGTAGAGAAGTATCTAAAATTGATGATAATCTGAAACATCTGATTATTACTGATAATAACCTGGATAGTCATCTCCAGTATTCCTATTGATAGCAAAATGAAATACTTCATTGAAAATTCTGTCTTTTTTGTTAAGTAAAGCGTTTTTATATGAATGTCTTTTCCCAGCTGTCAAAGATGTTTTCTCTAACTCCTGGTATCTTTACAGATCTGAACTACTGCACTCACCACAGACCATGCAAAAACGGAGCAACTTGCATGAACACCGGCCAGGGCAGCTATACGTGTTCATGCAAACCTGGCTTTACGGGCGTCGACTGCGAACATGAGATCAGCGAGTGTGACAGCAATCCCTGTAGGAACGGCGGTAGTTGCACGGTAAGGGCATTTTAAATGTAAAGCCTTTGTGTGAAGCAAGCCCCGGTATACCTTTTCAGAAATGGTTCTGTAACAACGTAATGGGAATTCGATAGTACACAGGTTCATTACCGACGCTCACAACTAGCATACTGAACCCTTCCCGAGAGGTGTCAGCGGAGGAAGTCTGTTACAGGAGGAGATGTATCATCTAGATTAGAGCTAGGCAACTGATCCTTAGGTTTCTGTGGCAGCCATTATGAGAGCCTGGCAAGATCCAGGGTTGGTGAGGGAGCAGATCTGTAAAAAATAAGCTTCTCAGATCAAGGTTCATACAGAAATGCGCAAAGTCTGTATTTTAATAGCAAACGAAAGAAAACTTCTGCTTTCTGCTCTGGGAGCGTAGCGTCAGACAATATGAGGGTAATCAGCTGAAACACTTTCTGTGAAACAGGGTTCTGCATTTTTAGTTTCCTGCAGTCTAGTGTTTCAGTGTGTGTTTGGACCCAGTCAATGATTGATTCTACCTGTTGATAAAGACTGACCGATCATAGATACCAAATGTAATCCGATGCACGTTTAGATTAAAGCTAATGGCGCAAGGCCCTAGCTCCCTTCTCCCAAAGCCTTGGGCATACAGTACTTGGAAAGAAGAAACAGTTTCGTTACGATCTAAGCGGCGGAACTTATCCATGGCAAAGCAACGCAAGCCCTTGTAAAGAAAAAAAGGGCCCTCATGCCGAGGGTAAATGGCCAGATCGCAGCTGTGTAGGTTGACGCATGCCATTCTGCTCTGGGAGGACCTCGGGAATCCCATTAGACAGTAGTGGTGTTAGTAGTGGTTTTGTCTGGCTGCCTGTAGGGTCCCTGGAACTGCATCTGCTCCGCTTGCGTAGCTGCCTGATTACTCCTACACGCTGAGTACGGCCGATTCACAGCTCTATCCGTCACAGTCCAGCCTGCAGTTATTTACTCTCCAAATGTCGCTTTTGCCACATGAAAGCATGGATGAGAAGGGACTGAACAGCACTTGCTGCCGACCAAAAATAAGCGTGCAAGCAGCTCTCATTTGGTGCCATCAAGTAACGCTGGCCTAACGTTGTGTTTTGCAGGATATGGAGAACGGTTATCACTGCCTGTGCCCCCCTGGCTACTATGGCACTCACTGTGAGCACAGCGCTTTGACGTGTATAGATTCTCCGTGCTTTAACGGTGGCACATGCTTGGAAAAAGAACAAGGGGCCAGCTACACTTGCGTTTGCCCTTTCGGCTTCACAGGATCAAACTGTGAAAAAAAAGTAGACAGGTGCACAAGCAACCCGTGTGCAAATGGTGAGTCTTTTTAGCAAAAAGTCTTGCGTCTCGGACTCGTTTGTGCTTTTCAGTGCAGAAGTGATAGAAATCCAATCTGACCTCCACTCTTCCTCTAATACATTAGTCCCTCTCCCCCACTGTATTCCACATCTACCCTAATTTTAGTCTCTGGCTGGGGGGCCAGCGAGGCGGTTCGCTGGCATTTTCTATGCAACAAAACAATGCACAAGGTTTATCATGTGATGGGGAAGATGGCAGAATTAAGTAAATTAAATTCACTTTATTATATATTGAGAAGGGTCATATTTTTAAGGCATGGTGGTACAACTAGGTAAACTAGAAGGAACTTTTACATGTGCGGTTGTTTTGTAAAATAACCGCCCTCTTCTTGAGATAGTATAAAATGCTAACTGGGGAGAGGTTTAGGTTTCCGAGTGAAGTGCATTGCAGACTAATATTATTTTTTTTTGACTTTTTTTTCCCTCAGATGGTAATTGCTTTTACCTTGGTCAGATTCGTGTGTGTCGTTGTCGGGCTGGTTTCTCTGGTCAGAAATGTGAGATAAACATCAATGATTGTGCCAGAAACCCATGTTCCAATGGGGGAACTTGTCATGACCTGATCAACGATTACACCTGCACGTGCTTGCCAGGCTACAGTGGCAGGAACTGTGATATCAAAACCAGAGATGAATGTGCTTCTGGGCCGTGTGAGAATGGAGGCACGTGCTACAGCGGACTTTATAGTGCCAACTTTGTCTGCTACTGTCCTTCTGGCTTCATGGGCAACCGTTGCGAATTGCCAGTTTATTCAGTGCCCGTTACGCTTCCTCCTAAACCAGTCCCCTGGATTGCTATATCCATGGGGGTGGGGCTGGTGGCTTTGCTCATACTGTTCTGCATGATAGCAATGGTCATCAGGCAGATGAGGATGCACCCAGAGCAGGACTTGGAGACAATGAACAACCTGTCTGACTTCCAGAAGGACAATCTCATTCCAGCTTCCCAGCTCAAAAACACCAATAAAAATAAAGACCTTGAAGTGGACTGTGGGCTGGAGAAATCAAACTACAAACCCAAGAATCATAAACTGGACTACAATCTGGTAAAAGACCTGACAAGTAGAGGGACACAGGAAGATAAATATTACAAAAGTGAAAAGTGTTTAGGAGAAAAGTCTCCCCTCCGACTACACAGGTGAGCATGCAATCTTCCTTCTAGTCTTTCTTAAGGCCCCTCGTCTTCATACCGGTCTAGAAGTAGATGAGAAAATATGGAGGAAAAACAAACCTTGAGCAGATAATAGACGAAACAAACCAAAGCAAAGCCAGGAATCTTCATACTGGAGTTTGTCTGTCACGGCCCAGTGGTATCCTTAGCTAGGTCAATTAAATCGAGTGTTGGTGCAGGGTGCTGCTAGTATGGGTACTGTGAAGGGGAACGGGAGCGGCTAGGTCAGTGGTGAAAGTAAGAAGTGTCGTTCCTTCCTCAGCAGATCTTGGAGGAATAACAGTCAAGGCATATAGTGATTAAAAATAAGTATTTTGCTTATTAAGAAGGCAAAATGATCTGCTTGCTGAGAAGAATGATAGAGTAAAAATAACTACTCTTTTTCAAAAAGAGAAAAGGGCAGGTATTCACTGGCTCAGCAGTCTGCTGATACATGTACTGAAAGTCTTGTCTGGGATCTGCTGGTGGCTGTTACTCTGAGGGATGTGAGGAGCACACTATTAGGTGGGACGTGGCAGAAGCACAGGAAGACAGTAGCTATTCCTCACTTCCACTTCTCTAGTATAATGTCCTGCCATCGCATAGAACATGTGAAACTTCATCCTCTGCACTTCTCTCCCACACCTTCACGGCTATCTCATTCCACCCCTCCATATTCATGGTAGATTTTGAGAATCAGGCTTGTTAGTAGTCGGCTAACATTTTTTCCTCTCTGCCCTGCCTTAGTGAAAAACCGGAATGTAGGATATCAGCGATATGCTCTCCGAGGGATTCAATGTACCAGTCCGTCTTCGTGATAACAGAAGAAAGGAATGAGTGCATCATAGCCACAGAGGTAAGTACGTACACAGGTGGACAGGCATAAATTCACAAAGTAAAGGGGTTAATTATCCTTTAGAGTTGCATCTGAGAAGGTTACTCTGTTTCCAGGGATCCCGATGCTTCCCAGCATTCACCTCTCCTCTTCTGTGGCCCACACAGACCATACAGTGGGGAAAATAAAGAAATTAGCAGCTCTGACTTTATTAAACCAGAGGTTTTGAGCTTAGATAAGTCAGCGGGAGATGAAAGCACAGAACATGAGACCATAAAAATTCAGCACGTTGTAGGATTACTTCCTCTTAAGTAGGCAGTCAGCAAAAATGGAAATAATAAGCGTTCATAGGCCCATTGATGTAAAGCCATGTTTTTTTTCCCATAACTACAATGGATAATTTGTGTTCTGTGGAAACAGGCAAAGCTATAGATTTCCAGCAGAAGATGGAAGGTAACTGATCCTATTAGTGGATAGGCATAAGAGCCATTTAGGAAGTCTGGAAAGAGGTAATTTCAACCTCTTGGCGTGTAAGCTCCAGCTATATATTCTCTAACAGAAGCGAACGCATCTAGCTTTTGATGTTATATTGAAAAGTCAGAGGACAAATACACAAAAAAGGAAGGGCCTAGCATTGAACTTTAAAGACTTAAAAAAGCAGCAATTGAGGAACCAACCAGTTCCTGAAGAATTACTGACCCTTTGGAAAAAGGCTGAATGGAAGTTAAAGGCAGTTTGACATTAACCGATGTCTGCCTTCTTCAGCATAGCCATCTCTAGGACTAGCTTCAGACTCTGGGAAAGAGAAGCTTGCTGTGCTATATAGCAGTGATCTGTGAAGTCAGATCTGCAGGATTCTGTCTCCCTTGCCAGGGCGGATATCAGATTTCCTCTTGAAGGCAAGCTGGAACATAAGTCAACCAACAATATTAAAAGTTTAAGGCTAAGTGAAAGGATTTTCTAGTGACAGCTAGATGCTTCATTCCCATTAACTGACTTAAATACCATATCTTCCTTTGAAGATCTTGCTAGTCTCCCAGATTTACAACAGGCATCTCCAGAAGTGTTTTTATTTTCAGAATGGCAGCCCTTGAAACCTGTCTCCACATCATTCAGGCTTAATGCTTCTCAACACAAGCTATTTAGCTATACAATATGCTTTTTACAGAGACCTAATGCTAAGCATCCAGATTTGTAAGCATTCTTCCCCTCAGTCTAGGTAGAGAGGCTCATCATACAGATGACTTTTTTTGCTGGTGATTCTTTGTCTCCGGACCCAGCCAAAACGACTGAACACTGATAGTTAAACCGCAGTAATGCCTAGCTTAAATTGCTTTGGCTTGACATACTTGAATTGCAATTCGTTAGTTCTGCAGTACTCCATATGCTGTGCTTCCTTCTCATTCCTGGTGTTATTTTATATCCCAACAGGTATAAGACTGAAGATCAGCCCTTTTGCACCTCAGATTTGGTAATGCCAGTAGATGGACGTTCCTGCTGCATTGTTTACAATTCAGAACTGGATTGGACTGTTTTTAATTACATGCAACTTGCTGCTCTCAGGCGGAGGATGGAACTGGGTGAACTGGACAGACTGTGAATTTACTGAAAGATGCAATACACCTTTTTGTTCTTACTGCCCTTGTTTGAAGTTTGAGACCAGAAATCTCATTGGCTATAGAAGAGGGGAGGCAGAGGGAAGAGAGAGGGGTTTAAAATGCTGTTGTCTTAATTTGTTTTTAAAAGATGCTGAGGCCAGTTCCTCATGGACAGACCCCTGGCTTTCCAGAACTCTGGTTATGGGAGGTGCCGGTAGATGAGGAGGCACTTAACTGTCACAGATGTTGCCACGGAAGGTGTGAAGAAAGACACATTGCTATGCAGATAATGGATACAGCATAAACGAGGTCTCCATTTTTTTTTCTGGGTTTAAAAGTGCCTAAAATGTGTCAAGAGAATCTTAACAAGCCCAAACAGAGACTTGACTGCTCTTTTTGCAGTTACCTGAACAGTATTGGGCAGGGGTGGCTGATGCTTCCTGCTACACATCTATTTGCGTCTCCTCTCTCCTGCTGCATGTACTGGAGACTGTGTAAGGGGCGAGAGGAGGAAGGAAAGAGGAATACCGAATTTACATGTTATCTCATTTGGTGATGCTTTGGAGAACTGATTGACCCAAGCCACAATATGGGACAGGATTTTTCTGGATTTAAACATTCGAGAAGGAAAAGTTGTGATAAGGAATGTGTACTGCCTCTTCCCTATTGATAAGGAGGAGGAGGCATGATCCCAGCTCTATTTAAAGCCTTACAAATGCGTTTAAAATCAATCAGCTCCTAGAACCTTTATGCGCTGAGCTGTCTCAGCTGTTTTCATGCCCTTTGCACTACCAGTGATTGTGAATAGACATTACTTTTTTCTTCTCCTTCCTCATTCTCTCCCCCCGCCTTATTTTGACACAAACTGGGGGGGTCTATGTCGTGTTTCTGAATTAGGTGCCACGTTCTACTGCGATTAGTCTCAAAATTGCAGCTGTTACTTTCTGAAGGAGAAGAAGCAGTGTACCCCATCCCCCCCCCCCCCTTTCCCCCTTTTTCACCTGGTTGCCAAACTTTCCCCATTTCTCCATCTGGTTGCAAAACTCCCAACTCCTGTCCTTCATCCCGGTTCCAAATGCCCGACAGAGAAGCACCCACTGAGACACCCTCTGCCAAAACAGGTGGAGATTAGAGTTAGAAGGTTCTAGGATCGCCCTGTTTCTTTCATACCCACCCACTGCTACACAGAAAAGTGGAAGCCTGCCCCTGGAAACCAGAGGCGTGCAGAAGCTCTTTTCTTGTATAGATATTTACAGCAATAATACCGGACGCCCCAGTGGAAAGCGCTGTGATGCTAATGAGGTGAGACCGTGGGCTGGGGCAGAATGCGGAGGGAGGAACCAAGATCTTTTCAAAGAAACCTGGAGCGTGCTCTCTCTCAAGACAGTGATATTCCTGCCCTTGTAAATCCTGTTGTTGGACTGGCCCATCTACTGCCTTGAACTGTGCAGACAAGACCCCTTCATAATGTCCACTACTGACCTTCTGCTCTGACCACGTAGGACCAGTTTGAAGATGACCTTCAGAAATCAATAATATGGGTTTTAGTTTGTCTGTTTGTAGTTTATTTTGAAGACTAGTATTTCAGTAATTTAAAAAAAAATCAGAAGCACTGAACTTTCTACGTTTTATAACATTATTTTGTATATAATGTATATTTATAATCAAAACAGAAGTGTAAATATGTTTATTACTTCTCATGTAATGTTTTTAATGTGATGACAAAGTTTGAATTTTATTTTTTTTTCAAGCAATGAAAATACTTTCCTGCTACGATGAAGTTTATTGTGGTTTGTCCTTCTACACTTCAGGTTCCACGATTCTGTGACAGCCAAGGTTACTTGTACCCCCAGAAGTAAGCTCATCTGCCTGCTCCCTGCAGCCAGCCCTACATTTACGTTTTGCACACCAACTGCTGTCGGCTGCTTTTTATAACACGGTTATACTGTTAACTGATGTCAACTAAGTTGTTCAGTTGAGTGGCGTTCATCTGACAGAAAAGTTACACATATTTATACTGTGATATATAATATTTAAATTGTATATATACATATATATATTCTCTTGCTATGGAGTGGGACTGAACTGTCAGGAAAGTTATTTTTATCAACGCTTCACTCTTCCTCTTCCATGACAAGTTGCGGCACGGAGGATACACATCTAATACCATTTCAAAGTGGCTTAATAAATGTGCTGGCTTGGGGTTCACTTACAGAACAAGATACGATTACTATTTTTTTTAAAATCCCATTTCTTTAAATACTTCCAGTAAGACCCACATCTTGCCCTCAGGTTACTCTTGCACACCATCTACATTTACACTTGCAAGACTCTATCCTTGTTTGGTTGATTGCGATGGGTAAGGTTTGTCTTTCACTTGCAGGATTACGGGAAGTTTCAGGCTTTCTCCTTCCGAGTTCCCTACGCTACGCCAGCAGCCTTGTCCTCCCAGGGCATCACAAAGTCATTGTCCTTTTGGAGGACATTTCCACACAAAAAGTGTAAAAAGCACACTTGTATAAAACACTCTCAGCAGGTTTAGTAGCCTTTGAAGCACATACATTTACAGACAATTAAATCTCTCAGCCAACTTCTGAACTCAAAAAAACAAAAGCTATAAGAACAGGAAACCACTGCTGCTCTATTTTAAAACCAGACTTTTTTTGTTGTTGACAAAATGCCAAAAAAGCATCTATCTTAGTGTTGGATGCCTTTCCTATCTTTCCCCCAAAATAAAATCTGACCAAAATTTGCTAGTTTTTTAGAAAATACAAAACAAAAAAAAACCCACTGGCATTAAAAAAAGCACCGTAACAAATTATTTTTACTTTGTCATTAAAATGCTGCAAATAATGGTTTATAAGGGTCCTTCTGAGTGTTACTATTAAGGTTATAGAAATACTATTTACTCTGGATGGTTTTGTTTCTCCCTCTTCAGTTCTTTTCTTAGCGAAATTAACTTTCAGATCCCAGCCAATTTCCCTGGCTACCGTAAAAACAAATTTAAGATGAAACTCAGAAATAAAAAGCCACCTCCCCCTCCCCAAACATTCACCCTGTAGAGCAAATTATGAAAAACAAGCCATTGACAAAAAGCTGAGCAGATGCTCCCTGCTTGCAGTCCTTCCTCGGCAATGTGAAATAAACCCAACAGATGCCTCTCTTAATTGAGCACATGGATTACATACACACATGCACTCTGTCCTGCTTAAAACAAAACACACACAAAAATCAAACAGGAAAATAGCCAGAGAACTCTTCCCAAAGCCTAGGCAAGCA